TTGGAATGCCTTACCCCTTTCCCTAAGAGATGTGCCCACCTTAAGCCAATTTAAGCGTGGTATCAAGAAAGCACTATTTTAATTAGTTTCGTTTTTCGCATGTTAATTTTCAAATAATGTAGTTTTATCTTCATATTTTTCGATAAGTGTTTTTTTCTTTTTATTTTTTAAGTAAATATATTTTATTTAGTTACTTTTAGAGGACCCCTCTGTAAAACACTTTTTTGTGATGTTGGCATCCTCAATAAAGATTAACTATTATTATTATTATTACTTTCGGAGAAATTTTAAACGCCTACAGTAGGAATGTGTTTAAATATCTTTACAAACCAGACCTCTAATTCTTTTTCACTTTCAATGCGACAAAAACTTTTAAGAGCTTGACGAACAAAAATGCATTTGGCAATTATTGTTTTCAAATCTTGACGTAAAAGCTTTACTACTCCGCTATAGCTTCAAACAGGTTTTGCTATTGTATCAAACCTTGGCGATTGTTAACCTGTATTTTTACCTATCATCTTTCTGTACACAGTAGTTTCGATATAAGGTTGTGCATCCTGCTATACCACTCCTTGCTCATTACAGGCCAGTGAATTATAAGCCTTCGTGAAACATGTTGACTCTTTTCCCCTTCAACGTGGATTGAGACAAAAGTTAAGATGAATGAAGTCTATTTGCGCCAAATACGGTCATTGCTTTACTGTTAAAATTAATAGTTAAATTGTATCAGTTTCCTTTTTATTCCTTCTATTATTTCTATCATTCCCTCTATTTCAGTCTACCATGAAACATGTTTTTATTATTCACTTTAAGTATTCATACTTCTGATTAAAGGGATTCATTTTTCTGGTAACTGTGTATTTCTATCGAGTGTATAAAACACGTTTACACAATGAGATACAATGAATATATGAAGTTCATATATTTTGAACTGCGGTATTAGATACGTATGATGCACGATCCTCGCAGTAGATAGCGCTATTTAGCGCTATTTATGGGTTTATTACGAATCAACTTAACGGCCTGCTCCTAGTTAGCTTGTTAGCTCAATTGGTAGAGCGCTGCACTAGTATCGCAGAGGTCAGTGGTTCGAGTCCCGTACAGGCCTGATTTTTCTCAGGTCT